GCTTCACTGATTTCTTCCCACCCTGCCTCCACCACCCCTTAGTGTAATGTATTTGCAGTAATTGTTTTTCTTTTGAAGTTATCACCTCATTGCAGTGTAGCAGTGTGTGAGTATGGGCAGGGAAAAATAAAACAACACTTTTAGAATGGACTACCCATTGGAAGGACCGATCTGATTCTTGTAGTGCCCAGAAGTATAAGGCTGGTGTATGCACATGCTGAATGTAGACTAGTAAAAATAAGTAGACTTGGGATTTGAGGTGGATGAACTCAAAAAATATGTCCTTTCCCCTCCCCCCCGCTCCCAATGGTTTGCTTCTAATCTAATTTGATAAAACTTTCTGTTCAGGGACAATGGAAAATCAACAGAATCTGAATAGTGAAAATATGCCTTCTCCCACACCTAGAAGAAAGTTCCTTTCTCTTGGAACAGTGGTAAGATTCTATTTGCTATGCCAAAGGTTCCTAAACTTTCTTATTGTGTACCCCCTTCCAGATTTGCCAACTGCCTGCATACCCCTACCAGCATATGTTTTAATCCCTTAAATGTTAATTATTATTTTAATGAAAATTAAATCTATTACACAATTTTTCCCATGTACCCCCCAGAGATGTCTTGCATATCTCCAGGGGTATGTGTACCACAGTTTGGGAACCTCTGTTCTATGCCACTATTTGCACTGTTGCCTGAGTAAGTGGGTGATTGGAGCTGGAGAGCTGCATGCTTCTTCTTGGGAAGGAGCAGGCAGTGAACAGCAGTTCAGGTGCTGCTTCTCTTTAGTGTGTGGGGTGTCTCAGAACACCTAGCCTCTGTGCCCCCAGAAGCAAAGGTCTAAGAATAGAATCATAGACAATTTAGTTTGGAGGGGACCTCCAACCCCCTTGCTCAAAGCAGGACCATCTCCAACTAGATCATCCCAGCCAAGGATATGTCTAGCCAGGTTTTAAAAACCTCCAAGGATGGAGTGTCTGCAACCTCTCCGGGTAACCTGTTCCAGTGTTTTATTACCTTCCTAGTGAGAGGTTGTTTTTTTTTTTTCCAAAGATCTAATCTAACTGTCCCTTGCTGCTTCTTGTTCTGTCATCTGCCACTACTGAGAATAGTCTAGCTCCATCTTTTTTGGAACCAACTTTCAGGTTGTTAAAGGCTGCTATGAAATCCCACCCCAGTCTTTCTCTTCTCCAGTTCCCCCAGCCTCTAAATAAGCCCAGTTCCCTCAGCCTCTCTTCATAAGTCATGTGCCTCAGACCCTAACCATTTTCATTATCCTCTGCTGAACTCTTTCTAATTTGTCTACATCCTTTCTGTAGTGGGGGGACCCAAAACTGGACACAGGTCTCCAGATGTGGCCTCAGCAGTGCCAAATACAGGAAGAGAACCACTTCCCTTGATCTGCTGGCAATGCTATTAATGTAGCCTAGTATGCAGTTAGGCTTCTTTGTGACAAGGGCACCCTATTGACTCATATTCAGCTTATTGTCCACTGAAACCCCCAGGTCCTTTTCTGTACAACTGCTGCTTAGTCAGTTCATTGCCTAGCCTGTAGCAGTGCATGAGGTTGTTCTGTCCTGCATGCAGGACTTTACACTTGTCTTTAATGACCCTCATCAGATTTCTTTTTGTCCAATCTTCAACTTTGTCAAGGTCTCTCTGAATCCTAGCCCATCTTATTTACTAAGTCTCCAGCTTGGTGTAGTCTGAAAACTTGCTGAGGTTCACTGCCATCTCCAGGTCATCGATGAAGATATTGAACAAAACCAGCCACAGAACCGACCCCTGGGGCACTTGATACTGACTACCAACTAGACATCAAGCCACTGACTGCTACCCTCCGAGCCCAATGATTCAGCCATTTTCTATCCACCTTACAATCCATTCATCCAACCCATGTTTCCTTAGCTTGTTTGAGAGAGAGTTGTGAGAGACTGTATCAGAAGCATTGCTAAAGTCAAGGTGTATCACATCCACAGAGCCAGTCATCTGTCATAAAAGTCAGTCAGATTGGTCAGGTATGACTTGCCCTTGGTGAATCCATGCTGACTGTTTCTAATCACCTTCTTTTCCAAATGCTTGGAAATGGCTTGCTTCAGGTTCCTCTTCCCAAGATCAGTCTGCGATACTGTGGTCAGGAGTAGTCAATAGAGGTTGGGTCTGTAGAGTTCTCGCTGCATTCCTGAGCAGCCAGTTACCATGCAAGGTTTAGGGGTACAGTGTGGAATGCCTGGAGGATTGAGCAGAAACTAGTCACCACAAAGCTTCATTTCTGCACAAAACAGTGGACCAGTTCAAAGGATCAGTTCAAAATAATACCTGAAAATCCATGTGTACTTTTGAAACATTCAGGCAAGCTTAATCTGTTCTAAACTGGTTTGTACAACTGTACACTTGCAATTTAAACAACATTTATAACAGTCTGTTATGCGTGTTCACATCCATTTGTGTAAACCAAATTGCTATGCCACAGGGGAGAGAATAGGTGATTTTAAGTGCAGGGTTTTTTTTTAAACTTGAGCTAGTAAATTAAGTGTTTTTGGCACGGGGAAAGTTTTGAAAACAAGACTGGAGCTTTAGGCTTTCTATATGATGCATGAATCAACAGTCATAAGGAATTTTATTTATTTTATGCTGGTTCATGCTTGCCATTTTTCACATTTACCCCTAATAGTTTATTTTGAGCAATGTCCAAAAAACCTTGCAATGGAAAAATCTACCTGAATTTAAAATGGTCTGTGCTTATTTTTGGTTGCTCAAAGATGAAGATTTGTAATTGTCAAATGCTTTTCTCTGTAGTATAATACTAGATGTTCTCCTGCATGCTATCCTATTTAATAGTTCCTTGTCCTTTTGGCCTAATGATATTGTGGCAAAAGGCTTTACAGGTTAATTACTTGAATGGTGTCTTTAGGAAAGTTAGTACTTCAATGCTTTTAGTTTCTGTGTTAAATTCCTTGCAGAAATTTCCTTGTGCATCATGAAGCTCATTTCAAATATCCTCTCAAACTTACCTTGTTTTCCAAAGCCAGTTAGTGGAGTCCTGAAGTCTACAAAGAAGGCTGCCCTTTTGAAAGAGCAGAGAAAGCAGAAGATGCTAGAGAGAGAGGTATGAACAAATAACTTAAGAGGGAATGTGGTGGGAGGGAGCATAATGTGTGTATTCGTTAATGAAATGCCATGTAAGAAACAAAAACTACCAACAGATCTCTTATTTATTGTTACGTCTGATTTAAATTCAAAGTAGTTGATGAATTGCTGTATATAATTTCCTGAGCAAATGTTTATCAACTCTGAGTAAAAACTACTTGTGGGGCAAATCAA